AATATTATTTAATTTATTTAATTTTAAGAGAGAGAAAGAGAGAAAAGGAATGAAAGAGCGAAGGCAAAAAACATAGTTTTAAAATTAAAGAAGAGAAAAAATAAGCAAAAGACAGAGAGGGAGAGGGAGAGATAGAGAGAGAAAAAGAGAGAGAGAGTTAAAACTGAAGAAGAGGAAGTATAAGCAAAAGAAAGGGAGGGAGAGAGAAAGAGACAGAAGGAAAAAAAGAAGGAGAATAAATATAATATCAGGTAATTATAATAGTGTTTAGTATTATTAAATATATTGTTAAATATTATTAAGTAATATTATTAAAAAATATTAATATTATCTATTTTATTTAACTTTAAGACAGAGAGAGAAAGAGAGAGAAAAAGAGCGAAGGCAAAAGAAGATAGTTTATTTAAAATTAAAGAAGAGGAAGTAGAAGGAAAAGAGTGGGATGGAAAGAGAAGGAGACAGAAGGAAAAAAGAAGGAGAATAAATATAATATCGGGTAATAATATTGTTTAGTATTATTAAATATATTGTTAAATGTCTCTCTCTCTCTCTCTCTCTCTCTCAGTGGAGAAGACGTGTCAAACATCGCTCCGCAAAAGTAATAACTTTTAAACGGTTAAATAGTTACGGGGAGTGATAGAAAGTTATTCAAGTCATAGCGGCATAGACCGGCATTAGCCATGAGTGTTATCTAGCCGGGATATGCTGATTTGTGGGCGTGAGAAGTGCATTTCCTGTCTGGGACACCAAAGTCTCACACGACAGGTAGACATTAAAGGTGGACACAAAAGTGCTGACGTGTGACAGTGGAACAGAGGTGACTGATCGCTTACGCTGATATTAGCGGTTTCGGCCGATAATTATCGGCATGGACGATGAATATGCTGAATATCGATGCTCGGCATGTAAAAAGACAAGAAAAAATCAGGTTGTGACATGCAAGTCTTGCTATCAGGTGAATTGTATTAAGCTGTTTTACCATCCAGGATGTGTAAGCAAGCATAGGATTTACGATAAAAATCAAGAATTGGTACCGTGTTCTGGCCCATTTGACAGATTTACAATTGAAAGTGAAGCAGATATGAAGAAGGCATTGGCAGTGGCCGGGGGCGGCAGGGACAGGCTAGGATCTACAGGATCTACAGGTTCGTTTACGACGCCAGGTAGTGGAAATAGAATATCAGGAGCGAGTGGATCATCGACTATTGACGTAAAAATAGATTGGCTGGTAAAAATTGTAAAAGAAATAAAAGATGAAACAGCATGTAAGAAGGAAATTAAAATGATGGTCAAGGAAATAGTTCGAGAAGATTTGGGAAATGTTAAGCAGGAACTGCTAGAAGAATTGAAAAGAATGATACAGGGAGAAGTATGTGGATCAACAGGAGGAATACAAAGGAGCTATAGTGAAGCGGTTAAAGAGAAAAAGAAAGAGAATTATACTGAACAATATTATTATCTGATATTATATTCCTTCTCCTTTTCTTTTCCTTCTGTCTCTCTTCTCTCTCTCTCTCTCTCTCTCACTCTTCCTCCATCCCTTTTGCTTATTCCTGTTCTTCTGTAATTTTAAATAAAGCTTCTTTCTTTTCTCCTTCTTTCTTTCTTCCTCTCTCTCTTTGTATCTGTCCTTCTCTCTTAAAATGAAATTACATAAATAATATTAATAACATTTAATAATATTTATTAATAATATTTAACTATATATTTAATAATATTGAACAAATTTATTACCTAATATTATATTTTTTCTCCTCCTTTCTTCCTTCTCTCACTCTCTCTCTCTCTCCTCTCCCCCATCACTCTCTTTCTCTCACTCACTCGACCACATTCGATTCACATCATCGAACATCAATCAAACATGCAATTTTAAATATACTTTAAATATATTTTCCAAATCCAAGAATAAATATCAATGAATATTTACTGACCCCACTCACGATAAATTTTTGATAATATTTCATAATAATATTTAACAATATACTTAATAATACTAAACAATATTATTACCTAATATTATATTTATTCTCCTTCTTTCTTCCTTCTGCCTCTTTCTATCTTGCCAATTTCAATCCAAATTAAAACTAATTTCAAATTAAGTCAAAGTCAATTTCAATTTACGTTAAAGCCAATTTTAATCAAATAATTAAGGTCAAATTCAATCTATTATACTTAGTTTATTTTTCATAACTTATTATCCCATTGGGTATCTGAAAAAGAAAATAATAAATATTAATAATCGTGTACATAATTTAATATACATCTCATTTTTATGATATTTTTAATCACTTTTTAAAATAATCAGTATATACAATATATATATATACCTCACTCTTTATCGTTCCTTCTTTTCTTCTCTTTTCTTCCTTTCTTAATTATATATCTATATTTTTCTCTGTTTCTATCCCTGTATTTCTGGTGTCTTCTCACTTATTGAACAAAATTCTTCTCTTCTTCTTTTTCTTTTCTTTGTCTTCTTTAACTTTGAAACCTTAAGTACGAGATACATAACACATACATTTTTAAACATGTACAAAAGAGTAAACTGATATATAAATTTAAATATTTTCGTAATACATATATACCTCGCTCTTTATCGTTTCTTTTTCTCTTCTCTTCCTCTTTCTCTCTTATATATCTATATTTTTCTCTCTTTCTATCCCTGTCAATAAAATATATCAATCAAATATCATCAGTAAACTAATCAAGTTTATTAAACATCAATCAAATATCATTAATTATTCAATACAATTTATCAAATATTATTAATTAGCTAATCAATGTTGTCAAATATTAATCAAATATCAAACATCATCATCAGCTAAATAATCCATTTGTATCATTAATATATAATATTAATATATTTATTATTTATATATTATTTATATCCATATAAAATAATAATTAACTCGATATCTTTAGCAGCAGCTCAGGGTAGAGCAGGAAACCGTTTTTGTGCCCTGGAGTCGACGTTGGATGTTCTTGTCAAACGGGTTCGATGACAGTATCCTGTATATTCCTGGAGGGTGTGTGATTGGGGCCGATAAATAATGGCGCTCGGTAACCTGTAGCAGCAGCTCAGGGTAGAGCAGGAAACCGTTTTTGTGCCCTGGAGTCGACGTTGGATGTTCTTGTCAAACGGGTTCGATGACAGTATCCTGTATATTCCTGGAGGGTGTGTGATTGGGGCCGATAAATAATGGCGCTCGGTAACCTGTAGCAGCAGCTCAGGGTAGAGCAGGAAACCGTTTTTGTGCCCTGGAGTCGACGTTGGATGTTCTTGTCAAACGGGTTCGATGACAGTATCCTGTATATTCCTGGAGGGTGTGTGATTGGGGCCGATAAATAATGGCGCTCGGTAACCTGTAGCAGCAGCTCAGGGTAGAGCAGGAAACCGTTTTTGTGCCCTGGAGTCGACGTTGGATGTTCATGTCAAATGGGTTCGATGACAGTATCCTGTATATTCCTGGAGGGTGTGTGATTAGGGCCGATATATAATGGCGCTCGGTAACCTGTAGCAGCAGCTCAGGGTAGAGCAGGAAGTCATTAAGGCACCCTGGAGTCGACGTTGGATGTTCTTGTCAAACGGGTTCGATGACAGTATCCTGTATATTCCTGGAGGGTGTGTGATTGGGGCCGATAAATAATGGCGCTCGGTAACCTGTAGCAGCAGCTCAGGGTAGAGCAGGAAACCGTTTTTGTGCCCTGGAGTCGACGTTGGATGTTCTTGTCAAACGGGTTCGATGACAGTATCCTGTATATTCCTGGAGGGTGTGTGATTGGGGCCGATAAATAATGGCGCTCGGTAACCTGTAGCAGCAGCTCAGGGTAGAGCAGGAAACCGTTGGACATCTTGGGAGAGATCGGCCATCTTGAGTCTCGCGACGGATGTCATTCCGGGCGGACATATTTGAGATACGATTACCGTTATTACCCGTTCTGTGTTCCTTGTTCATTTGTGTGTTTTGTGTTATTATTAAAGTTCCTTTTGTTCTTTTAAAAGAGTGTTAATCATTTACGTCGCGGTACGCGAGTGCCGTTTGTGTCGCGCGTGTTCGAGTATTATCGAAGTCGACGCGCGGACGCAACAATATATTTAATAATATTGAACAAAATTATTACCTAATATTATATTTCTTCTCCTCCTTCTTTCTCTCTCTCCCCTCCTCTCTCTCTCTCCTCTCCCCCTCTCTCTCCCGTCTTCGCCCCTTCATTTTCTCTCTCTCACTCACTTATAAGCCCGGCCGGCCGAGACATCAGGACCAGATCCTATCCCGACGAGCTCCTGATACCGATCTCTGCAGCTACCTACTACCTCTTGGGGCTGAGGCTGAACTCAGCTCCGTCGGGTTGTACCGACACGCTCTACTTGGAGTCGCGGTTGCCTTCGACCCCGCCGGGTTGAACCGGCTCCTGCCTACACCGCTTCTGGAGTCGAGGTTGCCCTCGACCCCGCTGGGTTGCACCGGCTCCCACCTCTACCTGGGGCCAAGACTGTACTTGGTTCTGTCGGGTTGAACCGACTTCCATTGCTCGACGTGACACTCGAGCCTGCCGGCAATACCTAGCCGTCTAACCTGACAGTAGCGTATAAGTGCATGTACAGACCGCGCTGTAAATATTAGTCGCATGATAGAGATAAGCCCGCTAGTTCTAAGTCTCGTAGTAATAGACCTGCTAGTCGTAAGCCTGTTAGTACTAAGTCCGCTAGTTATAACCGTATCCTAGTCTTAAGGCCTGTTCGTACTAAGTCCGCTAGTTGTAACCGCATCCTAGTCTTAAGGCCTGTTCGTACTAAGTCCGCTAGTTGTAACCGCATCCTAGTCTTAAGGCCTGTTCGTACTAAGTCCGCTAGTTGTAACCGCATCCTAGTCTTAAGGCCTGTTCGTACTAAGTCCGCTAGTTGTAACCGCATCCTAGTCTTAAGGCCTGTTCGTACTAAGTCCGCTAGTTGTAACCGCATCCTAGTCTTAAGGCCTGTTCGTACTAAGTCCGCTAGTTGTAACCGCATCCTAGTCTTAAGGCCTGTTCGTACTAAGTCCGCTAGTTGTAACCGCATCCTAGTCTTAAGGCCTGTTCGTACTAAGTCCGCTAGTTGTAACCGCATCCTAGTCTTAAGGCCTGTTCGTACTAAGTCCGCTAGTTGTAACCGCATCCTAGTCTTAAGGCCTGTTCGTACTAAGTCCGCTAGTTGTAACCGCATCCTAGTCTTAAGGCCTGTTCGTACTAAGTCCGCTAGTTGTAACCGCATCCTAGTCTTAAGGCCTGTTCGTACTAAGTCCGCTAGTTGTAACCGCATGCTAGTAATAAGACCTGTCTAGTAATAAGTCCGCTAGTTCTAAGACCTGCTAGCAGTAAGACCTGGCTAGTACTAAGTCCGTTAGTTGTAAGACCTGTTAGTAATAAGTTCTCTGGTTCTAATCGCGCCGTCCGCAAATAAAACCGGAACGATTGCACGCCGCACTTGTCTTGCGCTTCTCACCGCTTTGCGACCATTGCTTCGCGCCTGCGCGTTACGCAGATCCTGCTACCAGCGACCGCCTTCACCGCACGCTATCGCCAGACCCTGCACGCTGTATCTATCTTTCTCTAACTGAATAAACTATCTCTTTCTACCTATACTGTCTCGTAAGCTTGAGTCTCCCCTCCTCTCGAACCCGGACACCGACGAGCCGATCCGAGCGTCGAGCGAGGTGACCGCGTTACAAATGAAATAAGTAATCATAATTTTAATTACATAATTGATTAAAAATTACCCGATTTATATCGTGTTTGGTATCATTTTAATCGGTAAAATAT